GGTTGTCAACGAGCCTCCGGTGATGAAATGCGCTGGCGTGAGTGGTTGCAAATCCATTGGATGGGACGACATGGGTGAGAGAGGGCGTGAGTTCAACACGGACTCGATTTGCACCAACAGGCTGTAGAACTCCTCAAAGGTTAGCAATGCGTTTCCCACGACTCTCTTCAAATGATGCTTAGTAGACCTTACTCCTGCTTCCCAAATACCACCAAAGTGCGGTGAATAGGAGGGAATGAAGTTCCAGTTGATTCTCTCTGTTACAAGTTGATCTTGTAGTTGTCTCTCGTTCTCCTGGATAAACTCTCCGAGGCGCTTCAACTCAGAGTGAGCTCCAACAAAATTGGTGCCGTTATCGGAAGATATTTTCGCAGGTCTCCCCCTACGACCAACAAATCTACGAAGCGCCATGATAAAGTTCTCCGTAGTGAGATCGGAAACCAATTCCAGATGAATGGCCTTTGTAGCCATGCAAATAAACAGGCAAATGTAGGACTTGTAGGTTTTACAGCCTCTTCCCTTTCTATCCTTTGTCACNAAGGGCCCGGCATAATCCACGCCAGTGTTATAGAAAACGGGAGTGGGCGTTACGCGATCGGACGGTAAGTCAGCCATCTGTGGTGTGATTGTCTTAGGTTTGTTACGAAAACAACGAACGCACTGGTGTACAACGTGACGGGCTAAGCTTCGACCAGCAATAGGCCAGTACGTCTCTCTAACATGAGCCAACAATAGTTGAGGGCCAGCATGCAGAAGCCGTTTATGCTCGCTCTGGAAGATGAGTTTAGTTAGATGATGTCTAGACGAAAGTACCATGGGATGCTTCTTGTTAAAACTAAAGTCAGATCGTCCCAATCGACCTCCCACCCGTATGGTATTGTCGGAATGCAAGAAAGGTTTTAAGCCGAGAATCTTGCTCTGCGTAGATATATCTTTATTCGCGGCCAATGCACTATATTCCTCTGGAAACGACTCCTGTTGTGACAACCTCACCAATATAGTGGTTGCCCGCCGTATTTCCTGCGCGCTAAGCGCGCCTTTGTTGGATAACTTATGCACTCGTATGTTTACAAACCTCATGCAAAAGGCTACTACTCTCTCCAACCTTTCCAGCGTGGAGTATCTTTCGAACGGAATGATGTGGTTGGTTGCTACAATGTGTAAAGTGTTCAAAGCTGTGTCTCTTAGCTCGGGTAGGTCAGTAGTTACGCAACCGATTTGAGTTGGCCAATGACTTTCAGACTCTACTAACCAGGCTGGTCCATGCCACCAGAGACGTGACTGGGACAACGACCCGGGGTAGATACCTCTTGACAACAAGTCCGCGGGATTATCAGAGGACGGGACATACTTCCAATCGTTCCGATGAGACTGCACTTGAATATCAGACACCCGATTGCGGACAAACACTTGAAGACGATGTGGTTCAAGTCGTATCCAACTTAGGCAAATAACTGAATCGCTCCAGTAGTAAACGGAATCAACATTCACATCCAAAGACGACTTGATTTTGGTTACCAAATTCACTAGGACGTGAGCAGCGCTTAACTCCAACTTTGGTATTGTGAGTGGCTTCAGGGGGGCGACTCTTGATTTGGCGCACAACAAACGGAC